GCATTTGTCCTAATTAGGGTGGTGGGTGTGCTGGAGCTTTGTCTGTGACCTCACACGTTTGTTATTCTTCATCTTGATGAAAAGTCAAAGTTATCATTTGTAAAGGAAGCAAATTGTGTGACAGTGTAGCCCTACAGGTGATTAAACAAAGAACATCGATTAACAAAAACCACTAATGGCTTGGAATCCTCATTCTGTTCCAATCATCAGTCAGATGAAACCGACTCTCGTGGGTCTATCACCGTCCTTTAGGTCCCTTATTGCGGTTTGTGTGACATTGAGTCAGTCTTGCCAATTTCTTGAAAATAAGCATACTTGTTTTGCCTCCAGTAGAAGTTACAGAGCGCGTGTCTGGATGTCAACCAGAGGAATGACACCACCATCGGTGTCAGCATGTTTTTATCATCCGCCGTGGGTGTGGAGCAAGTTGAGTAAGTAAGGATATAAGTGGGGTGTGATTAAACGGATGACAGTGGACTGTGGACGTCAGCTTATTTTCATCCGAAATGTGGCTCCACAAGGTCTGCTGCAGGCTGCGATCACTGATGCAATGAAACTTGGAAATGTACAGTACAGTCGGACACAGGGATCAGAGGATTGCTGAGGAAGAAAGAAAAAACAAACCCGGACCACATACAGGATGTCCAGCCAAGACTTTAAAACATAACCGAGAAAATGAGATTCCCACAATCAAAGAGGGAGATGGTCCATAGCTCATAGGGTTCAGTCGGAAATGATTCCACTTTTCTCCTGCTGTGAACTGCCAATGTTAAGCTTTGCCCGTCCGTCAGGTGAGGAGTGATCTTACGACAATGCTGGACAGTTTGGACACTACTGCGAGCTGAACCACAAGAATAAACATTGTTACATAAATATCTTTCTGACAGTGTCACTCCAAATGCAACATTGGTCATTATTTAATAATCCATTTGTAGAAGATGGTAATCGACAGTGGTTACAAAGTGAAGGTTTGAAAATCCGCCGACAATTGTAACATAAAGACATCCGAACAAAGTTCTCCGAAATCAATCATGTTTCTTTAACAGAGAGATGAAACCAAGAAGAAAAAAGCCACATATAATAGCTGTGCCTTTAGATAAACTACGCTCCTGTATGTGTTTGTTTTCGTGGCTGATGTTTGTCAAACTGTACAGAGAGGTTCCCGATCTTGATGCAGTTTTGTCTACTATTTGTCTTGGGAGATCACTTTTGAGAACCACAGAAAAGAGATAGTGAGCAACAACTTGGGCCTGTGATCTTTCGCAAATTCTTCTGAAAGTCTCCATATTCTGTTTCAATTCATGCACAGTGTCTGTCTATCGACTTCAACAAAGAACCAAATCAGCTTATTACCACCTGATAAACGGGATCGTGTTGTACTCAGAAAAGACCATCAGACAAAACAGCCTCCTGTGGAGTTAATCCGCTGAACAAGTCATCATCATAGTTAAACAGGATTATTTGCCCAGCCGAAGGGTTTGCATCAGAAAAAAACATTTTGTGTCAAATGGTGGCTATTTAAATTCCGACCCAAGAGTTATCTGTGTACATGGCGTGTACATGGCTCTGTGTGTGTGTGTGTGTGTGTGTGTGTGTGTGTGTGTGTGTGTGTGTGTGTGTGTGTGTGTGTGTGTGTGTGTGTGTGTGCGCGTGCGTGTTGAATGGCACAACTGAGGGGACAGCAAGAAGAGGGCTGGCAGCAGCTGACAATCAGTCGGGAGTCATTGAGTGAAGTCAGAGCAGAGGGCAGCTGCCCAGCAACCGGGCCCTCTGTTGTGAATGACAGCCATTCATCCCCCTCCCCTTGTCTCACTCCAACATCACATGAGTTTAGCCTCCTACTCAGCAGAGCCAAGTACAATCTCACACTGTGCCCCCTGACACAGAGTGTGGGGCGGAGAGGAGGGATGGAGATAACTTGTACCGTGACCTTGAGGATGGCAAGTGGACACAAAAGGGGAGAGTGACGGTTGTTTGACATGATGCATGACAATGTGCTTTTCGGTTCTGAGTGTTGAAGTGAAGCAGGATTCAGTGGGGAACACCCATACAGATTTTTAAGCATCTCAATACTGCTTTAATCGGGGTGCACACGATGACAAACACAGAAGACAGCACACATCGTGACGTCTCTGCACAGACATGCCCAAAACAGATTTCAAACCAGCTGCTGCATGGTGACAGCGGGCATCCAGACTGCCCGAAAAATACAAAGAAGAAAGGGCAGTACAGTGTTAGGGAATCACCCCTACCACAAATAGCAAAAAACAAACACACAAAAAATCCCGGAAAAGATTCATATGTCTTATACAGTATACATCTTGTGGCATGACGGCCAAAAACCACTACTTTCCTATTAGACAGGGGTATGCATTGCCTAAATGAAGCTTCTCTCTTTGCTTCAAAATAGTTCCTTCACACCAAGATGGCTCCAAATCAATCATTTTATTTCAGACAAAGTTCTGGCATGAGCACAAACACAGCAAATGTTCTATTTTTCAGCGCATATGAGGATAGTTCCCCCCCGCCGTCAAGATCTAGAGCAGGAGTGTCCAATATGTCTATCGCAATAGCCCGCAGACAGTTGCCAAGTTGATCTCGAGGTGTGGCGCATAGAAAACATCTGACAAGCATAACGGGTGATGCCAAGTACAAGATGAGTGTAAGGATGTGCTTTCCCAGAAGAGCATCTTCTCCTGTTCTAAAACGGGAACCCGTGACACCATCCAGTGGCAGCCGGCCAGCAGCTGGATACTGCTGAGTGTGGCCGAAGATGCTGCAGTGGCTCCTTTGACTCATCAGCACAAAAACTAAACTCACATTTAGCCTCCACTGTAGCATTGTGTATTGCTGTGAGTTGTCAACAATAGTAATAGAAAATAATACAAGAATGCCTGCCATTGGAACTATAATATCAGAAGTCCAACATGCGCATTCATCAAAGTGGAAGCCGTTTGGATTTCTTGTCAGGACAAATAAAGACAACCAGGAATGGCATATTTTGGATTATCATGTCAAAAAAACCAACAAAAAACAACCAAACAAACATTCCTGTTAACGCAGCTTTAAAATCATTTCGCATTCATAAACTCCATTGATAAGTAACTGACACACACATGATGAATCTCAACTTACAATGCTGGATTGTTGGTTGTCTGTTGACAAAAGCAAGAGCTGCTGAACTCTCGGCAGGACTTCACACCATGTAAATTCCTTCCTCCCTCCCGAAGCTTCCTGCTCCAAGGTCAGTGGCTGGAAGTGCTTATTGGACTCCTCCTTCCCACAGTAGACAACCACTAATGTCCTGGTCCTCCACCCTCTCTCCACCTCTCATTGGCCGGCCACCCAGGCTGTAATGACCATCATGATCTAGATTAACCCTCAAGTGTGTTTTTGTTGTGCTCCAGTAAGAAAGAACTGGAGACCACAGACGGGATTAACCAAGGGGTCAGGGGTTGCTTGGTTTCAACCCGAGAAAAAAAAAAAAAAAGCACATAAATGTCACAACTGAGAAAGTTTATAGTTGTAAACTAAAAGAAGGATCCAGTTCTTTGTTGTGCTCATATTTACCATGAAACACAAGAGGAGATAAATCTATGTGGTCGAACCTCCACTGTAATCCCTTGAGACTGGGCCCAGTCTGACACAGAGTCAAGAGGAGACAGGAGACAGGGGTTAAATAGCTTCGAAAAGGAGAGAGTGTATACAGAGAGTTGCAGACGCAAAGAAATAATTTGACATAATATGTATATAAAGATAATTGAAATTAATTTCCATAACTTGAATTGCACGTTATGAAATCAGGGAAAAAATCTTTTTCGGAGGCTTGACATGATGTTCACAGCATGGCCCCTTGCAGAGTGGAGTTGGCTGGGATTTGCAGTGTTTAGTTGCATCACTCAGTGGATTTATAGATCTTCTAATGCGATTACAGGGAAGAAGCGTCTGATGGGATGAAATACAACTTGAAACGTGCAGAGAACATAAACTTCAACAACATGAGGGCACGCAAATTCAGTTTATCAAATCTCTCTATATATAATTTTTTATTTTACATATCAACATGTAATCACCATACAGTACAGTACATAGTAAGTGACCACAATTTATCAACTGAGGCGTCCTTGATTTATGTTACATCATCAGAAGAAAAAATGGAGCAGTCACTTTTTAGGATCGGCTTCCCCACCGTGGCCATTTGTGGTAATTACAGTAACTGGCAGTCAAATGACGTCATGCTTTCTTTGTTATTGTCATAGTGTATTTCAGCGGACTAAAATTATCTGACATTTTTGTTTATGGTTGAAAAAAGCGGTATCGACAATTTTTGTGGCGATGAGCATTTAAAAAGACAATTTAGGGGTGCTCGTATGTGTATTTTGAGAGTCGTGCAATTGGTACGACAATAACATCTACCACAAGGAGACAGCGAAGAATGGTTGCAGTAGGACCGTAACCGAAGTGCACAAGCAAAATAATATACAGTTAAAATAAATTATTTGTATATACATTATTTATGCATTAATAAATAAAAGACAGCAGATAGAGACAGAGCACGAGGTACTGAAAATAGAGGTCAACATTAAACTGCCTCAGTCTACACACACATATGGATATTTGGGCGGATTTTCCCCATCCAAACTCAGCAAAGGCCCAATTACAAGTGTCTCTAAAGTTGATTCCACGCGATTATCGTCTGGTAGGTTGGGAGTGTTTTTTTTTTTTTTTTCTATTTTGATCCAGGCCCAAAATATCCTTGTAATTGTCCAAATCAAATTATGAACTATGCACCTTTTTAAAATGTGTTATTAGCCAACTGAAAATTCAATGTTTCAGAGAAAAGTACAAAAAACTCTTTGTTTTCTTAGTTGTTTATTATTTATTGTTATTTGTTTTTGCAGGTCTTAGTCTGGTATATGTGTCAATGCACCCTCCGACCTTTTTATGTTCATTATGGTTGAGTACAGCACACACTGTAAGAGCATGAAGAAAACATAAGGCACTTTTTACTGTTTTGCTTTATTTAAATAGAATAAAATTTCAGGTCCGACATAATCTTGATGTGTAAGGGAAATAAACCAGTATTCCAACCTGTTTATGGTGCACAGAAAACAAGGCAAGGCCAATTTTTTTAAAAATCCTTACAAGCACATAAGCAAGACATGAATTATAAATACAGTACCCTGTGTTTAAAAGCCATCAAAAAAATCAAATACTGCATGAAATAAAGATGGTGATTTAATAAACGCATTGCAGGTCTGTGTAACCTTCAGCAGCCGCAATCAACCGCTATTTTCCTGTTTTCTTCTTTCTTTCTTTTTTTTTTTTTTAATAAATCCACCAGACCTGAGCGTTACCAAGTAGTCTAATTTTCATTCAGTGCAGCAAAACACAAGCCAAGCACTGAGCACATGTATGACGTGTTGCCAAGTAAATATATTTTCTTCCGTTTGATCTACATTTGAAAATGGATGATTTCAAGGCATTTCAAAGCTTCACATCTCTAATCACAATTACTAAAACATACAAAACTTGAAGGACTCGAATGCAAATAGCCCAAAAAGGTCCAGGAGTAACAGCTCTGACTAATTCTGCGTCAGGTAAGCGAAATAGGTAGCATCATGGGTTGATGGTGTGTAAAGTATTATAGACTCCTTTGAGACTGGACCGATTCGCTGGCTGTGAACTGTTACCTCACTTTGGAGCCAGATCAACGTCTACAAAGTATGAAGGCAAAGCATGGCTCAGATGAGATGGAGGTTAACCAGTTCTTGAAAACGATGTGTGCATGAAAATCATCACACTGAATACCTAAATCTAATGTGGATGTGAATGCCGGATCTCATACTGTTCGTCATGTAAATAACACTGTCCCATAGTGACATACTGGAGGTGATTTCATTCTCAAAACACCCCCTGGCTAATTTCAAATCTCCAAAAGAGCATCCAGAAACATGAATTAGCCACCTCAATAATGACGTGTAGCAGGACAATCTCTCTGCTTTGCTTCTCGGTGGGCTTCCACAGGAAGCATTGTCACATTAGCAGGTGGGGTCAGAGCTCCCTCAGCTATGGTAACTCTGTTTCTGCGACAGGCGCAAAAGTTCCTCACGGATGGCCTTGATCAAGGAGGCGGATGACTGGGTGGGAGGGCTCGCATCCAGTGAGAGTGGAGCTGACGGGTAACCCGCCCCAACTTCCAAGTGGGCGGGAGGAGCTGACGGCTCCCTGAGGACACTTCTGGGAATCTGCGAGATAGACGAGGAAGAAGTCAGGACAAGACAGGAAGTGTCGGATACAGTACTAAGTTGGAGCGGCTCTTGGGCGACTTCCCATGCATTGAATAAAATGTAAGGTAGTCTAAAACAGTTTTTTTCAAACCCTGTACCGAGGCACACAAGTGTGCCGCGAGACATTGTCAGGTGTGCCGCGGGAAAATATCCAATTTGTATGCCTGTGTGGTCTATCGCCCAGAAAGTAATCATGTAGTACCCTCCCATACCGCAAGGGGGCAGCAACAGCAAGCCAATTGCTTTGTGTTTGAACAGAGACAAGCGAATTTGTGACGCGTGAATGCAGGACCACGGTGAAACAATAAATATGAAAGATGATAAAATACTTTTTTTCTTTGTGTTCATTTGATTCCAATTTAAGCTGTTATAACGTCATTCTTCAATGTTAAATACGGTTATAGTAACAATACAACACGTTAATTGTTAAAATAAGCGGGGTTTTTTTTCACTTTTCAGCTAGTGGTGTGTCGCGAGATTTTTTCAATGGAAGAAGTGTCCTTGGCTCAAAAAAGTTTGAAAAACACTGGTCTAAAACATTTGTGGTTCAACAGTCACAAATTCACTCACAGTATTTGTGTCTTTTCATGAGAAACTGAAGCAATCCCTAGCAAAATGCTGAGAAACTCACCTATTTGAGCTTTTTGTGCTCTTTTTGTTTTTGTAAGGAGGCACAAGATGGCGATAAAGCCCTGCCTAAATAAGAAGGTACAACAGTAATTGCGTTCAGATGTATGTTGAAGTGACTCATCTCAACTGAAAGACAAGCTTCGTGGGTTGAGTTGGAGCCAAAGCTCACCTTAGTTGTTAAAACCACAGGGAGTTTATGCCAATGCATTGTTTCAATGGCATATAACCCTGATTCAAATAACCAAAACGATCAAAACATCACCTCCACCCTCGTGTGATGTACAGTCGGCGAAGGTAACTTCGCCGACTGTACATCACTATTGCTGCGTTTATTATTGAAGTGGATTGCACCATACTAGCTGTCTCTAATACTTTGGTCACCCTATTTGACTGCAATAAACGTCTGTCAGTATGAAAAGGGAGGTTTAACAAGTACTATACACTACTGCAATGGCAAACATTATTGTAAAAAAAAAAAAAAAAAACAACACAATTTCAGGGAAATTCTCAGTCTACAATTACAAAGTGCAGGAACCAGTGAAGACCAGGAAACAGCGTTTCTGTTTCAACAATGAAGATACCCCAGTAAAAACCACCTAACCCACTTCCAATGTGCTGATGTCACGCAATGAACTTTTAAAGCCAGCCACGGGACGCTTTGTAGTCCTCGATGGCCATAGTTAGCGCGATGGAAATCGCCTTCTCTCTAATTAGCGCTCCAGTTAGCGTAAGGTTTTTAGCATGATAACAAGTAAAGCATTTCAGGAAACGTTCGTTTATTTGACTATCCGTCGAGTCATAAGCAATTTACTCTGAGCAGCTAATCGGATGCATTCCACTCTATCTTCCACGGATCGAGCTACAGTATCTACACACATAGATAGTGAGGTCCCTCTTGGCCAATCGGAGGCCAGGATGAGGCTCGGTAAGCCAATGGCAGAGCAGCTATGAGTATGCTGCGTTCAGGAAACTCGGAGCTGTGAACGAAATAAAAATCGTTCACTATGTAAACCTGTGTGGTGGTTGCTGTTGTTGTTTCCGAACAAAGCAGTAGAGTTCGCTGTTGGATTAGACTTTCTTGTAGTGAATCTCTTTGCGAGGCAAGAGCAGAGAAAAAGATTTCGTATAACGGAACAGGGTTTTTTTTCGTTGTATGGGGGGCAGGAGAGTGGGAATGGTGTTAATGCATGAAGATTTTTTCACACTAGGGGTTATTTTCGCCCATGTGGGTTTTGATATATATATATAAAAAAGACAAGAGAATTATGTAGGTATTTGCACTCACTGCACTGTTATCTGGTAGTGCTCTGCAATAAATGTCCTCGTGGTAGTTGTTCCAGCTGATTCCTCCATTCTGTCCTGGATAGCCTCTGACCCCGGCGGGATAACCATTCATACGGCTGGACAAGCCAACCTGTGTAAGTTGATGAAGGTGGGCGCCTGCACACGCATCAAAACAGACACATCAAGGCTTTATTATGTCACATCCGTCTTGTGTAATATATTTCATTTTGTTCCAACTTTTGTTGCGTCTTTCTCTGGCTGCCTGAGATTCACTCGTTCCAGTAAATGTCTGACACCATTTATGTAAGCCTCACTCCCAACGCCTTGAATAATTGAAGAGAGACTCAGCCTTTCGAGTTGACTTGTAACCCCTAAGTCAGCAGAGGCCGCAATAGTAATTGTGCTGTTGCCAGACTGGTTGTGTTAAGTGTTTGTATAATGTGCCTCTCATGTCATCTATCATAATATCATTGACAAAAGGCATGTTTTTAAGTACAGTACTGTAAGTACGTTGGTAAGCGTTTGCACTATGCAGTTACCGGATAAGCTAACAGTTAGCCCAGCGTGTCCTAATATTAGTACCGTAGACGTTCTTTGTATTTTATGGTCGTCTTGATGACCCGTGACTTTAATGACTAAAATGGATGTAAATATGAAACGGGGGATTTTTAGAAGGATTTCCAACTGTACCTGCAGTGCTCCCTACTGGCCGCGGCCGAGCCGATGTAGGCAGCTCATCTGCGTAGAGTCCCCTGCTGGAGTAAAAATTGTTGAGCTGGAGTTGCTCCCCGGGCCCTGGTGCCTCTTCTGGGGGAAGGTAAGTCAGACCACGATCCTGCCTGGAGAATACAAGACTTTCACTGAATCAAGCCTCCAAACATTAAGTCGCGCAATAGAACAAAGACTTTGCTGCAGCAAGAGTCCGACTTTTGTCTAATGTAAAACATGACCACTTGTTAACTTATTTATCTCAAGTAGATGTGGCCCAGTGCTCTACTTTCTAGGTGTGTATGTGTTGTATTCATTTGCTAGAGTGCCTGAGTGTTTTGGGGGGTAGCTAAGAGATGAAGGCCGAGACCTGTTCCATTAAACCAATAAAATAAAAATGATCCCTTAAATTATTCATAGTCTGACTGACTGGATGATGCAGGACACAAGGCAAAGTGGGTATTTTTCAGCACTGATCAATAACAAAGGACTTTGTTGAGGACAAAAGAGAATGAAAATCCACATGTGCTCAAGTACATGATTTCCATTGAACGCTTTACTAACCTTGGCATTAAGCCTTGAACCAGAGGGGGAGACACACTCAGGTCGCCGAATCTCTGAGGGGAGCATAGAGAATGGAAGCAGCGATGAAAGACAACAACAGGAGACAATGAGCTTTATGAAGCAATTTTCTTAGATTTGTTCTTACAAAGCTCATTTTAAAAATACTGCTGCTGCTTATTATCATAAATAAGATGTACTCGCTTTTCGTAATGACTGATTTAAACACCTTATACTCTTATAAGATGCCGTTTAGTATCCAACTTCAAATACAGGCCATTGCAGTGTCAAATTGAAATAAATTAAAAGGTGTGCCTGAACAACTTTATCCTCCTCTCCTCCCTCAGTCTCATTACATTGTCTACGGCTACACAATTCAAGGAAATTTATATTCAAGTACATCTCAATAAATATGAATATTGTTGAAAATTCAATTAAAAAAAGTGATAAAGTCAAATGGAGATTATGGACATTACAAAGAATGAATTATTTGATTTAATCAATGATGACATAGCGAACAAATATCCCATATTTACCATCTCAAGAAACTTCATAAGAGAGTATTAGTATTTTTATGTTGTTGAATGAATCTTGATAACATCTATGTTTCACTTTTTGATTTGAACTGTTGAAATAAATCCAATTTTCATCAATAGAAAATTTTCTTGACAAAACATCACACAGAAAATAAGTATCACCTGTGATTATCTATACAACAGGCATCTATTTGGGCCGCCTCCGACAAAAGGAGCTCAAGATCAAGCATATGCAGTGTACATTAGTGAAACGCCTTAGCCGTAGAGAGAACTGACAGCGTTGTATTGAGGGCCACCAGGTGGTCTTCTGTACTTAACAGATTAGTTGGAAACGATTATACGTTGAAGCTATTGTACATACAGACTTCAAGTGAAGAAAAAAATGAAAGGGAATCTACAGCGAACACTTGTTTTGTGATTTCAGGACAGATCAATTATTAAAATTGTCGTGGTGTTTTTGTCGACCTCCAACAATTAGCTACTTACACCAGTGTAGGGGCCAAAACCTGGAAAGGATGGGCCCCAAGGTCGGGGGCCACGGCCCGCAGGACTGGAGTCAGACGTATTGGCATTGACCCCTGGCAGAGTCACTCCAGCGGAACTGCCCTGGGAAGTGGGTGACACAAGGGCAAAGGCGTCATCCAGCAGCGAATGCATTTGCTGCCGCGCCTCTTCGATGGAAGGCTGTGGAGGCATGTAAGTGGGCGGGGCAGGGGCATGTCCAGGAGGTGAGGAAGCGGGACCTAGGAAGACCTCATCTGTGGTGGGTGACGGGCTTCTGTGGGTCAACCCTGGGGCTTGGTCAGGATCCGACTGAAATGTACCACAAAAAAATGTATAAGCCACCAAGTAGTTCCATTCAGTCTGGAGGCTAAGGCTCAACGAAAAGTTGTGATCTTCCACGCACAGACGTCTTCATGACCAAGCCACCCACATTAAACTTACCACATAAGCCACATTGTTGACCCCAGGACACTTCCTACAAACAGCGTCAGTGTCTTCGGTGATGAGGTGATCTTTGTCTGCATCTGTCATGCCTCCATTTGACTGCCCCTTCATCCTCTGTTTGGGAGAGCGCCTCCCTCGAGCACTGGATACAAAATGAAATATTATCTCATTATATATAAAAAAAGTTTCCACAATTAAAATAAATGAAACCTACACCAACTTTTTGGGGGGTTCCTTGAAGACTGAGGGAACCTGCACATTTTGATCTAAAATCTTATCCATTTGCAGCTGTGCTTTATGGTAAATGTGATCCTGGTCTTTGGGGTCCACAAGGTCTATGTCATTCATTGCAGGAAAGTCATAGTGGCCCTTCCTCTTGGCACGCAGGCGGATCTTGTTTCGATGATGCTCAATCTCCGATTTCTGCCTCATTGCTACTTGGATCTGATGAGAGGACACATCATGTAGAAAGGACGTGAACTTTGGATCGATCAAGCTGCAAATGTGAAAATGAGGATCAAGAAAGGTGAACCTCCTTGTTGGTATCGGGCAATTTGCCAGAACCAGGGTGGCTGTTCAGGGGTGGGACCGTCATGGGCTGCATGGCAATTAGCTGCACTTTGTTGGGGAGTCTTCGGCTTACATCTGTGGCCCGTGACATCCGATCAACATGTTCAAATATGGAAGCGGATGACATCTGTTCATTGAGACCATTTGTAGGAGGCGGACCTGTAGGGATGGAAATAACAGTTTAAAAGTCTTGATCACTACAGTTCATAAGTCTAAATGGCCACATTGAGTCAAACTAGGTTGTCTTGTAGAAAAGATGATTAGGGTCATGCCCCACCCCCCCCCAAAAAAGGTAAAGTTTTTTTGTAGACTGCAACAACATTTAACTCATGTCGCTGACAGTTGGGCTGACAGTGATGAATGGTAGGAACAAGCAAAGCACAAAACTATCACAGAACCAAACAAAACAATTGGGAGATTCACAGACGCAGATGGAAAGAAGACAAAGTCTTACCAATTCTATTTTTGCCTGCACCGCAATAGAAAGGAAAGACAGTTATATTGGAAAAGATCAGTCCTCGGTAAAGTTCAAAGACCACAAATCGATTGTGAGTAAGGAAGGGCATTCAGATGTAATTCTAAATCGAGAACATCGATGGTCAACTGGTAGGTCACACAAATTTGATACTCTGTCGTGAAGCGAAGATCCCCGCACATGGCAGTGAACAAATTAACATGAAATAACAAGCATGTAACAGGCACATGTCGGAAATCTTACAACTTGGGCGGGGAAAGGTACATTTTAGGGCTGTTCACAAATCAGTGGAGATTCAAATGCGGATCTTTGTAAAGCTCAGCAATGCAACATCAAAAATATTCCCTTTCGGATTAATATAAACTATCACTGAACATAACCTGAATGGCATGTCCTGCTTCCAAACAAAATTAATCTTTGTCCCTGAAAATGTCAACAAACTCCTGAAAATACAAGGAGTATTTAGCACTCCTGGTTACATGCCAGGTAGGTTTGAATCAATGACATTGTTTGACAAGTACAACATGATGCTTTATATTGCATGGCCTGTCACAATGTCACCGCTACACTGAAAAGCATTTTTGATGAGGGCATTCCTGCTATCATGTTTGAACTTCCACATGACGAGTAAAATATCCGTAATGTACTGCTGAGTACAAATACAACATAGCGTTAAACAGAACGCCAGTAAATGTGTGATTCATGTGGAAGTTTATCACAACAGTTTTACCCACCGCTGAAGTACATCAATGTCAGTATGTGGCTTTCTCACTGTATCAACGGCCAACTTTACATCCTCCGCAAGTTGAGATCTTTTTTTCTTATAAACGTGTTTTGCATGCGCCAATCTCCTGCGCGGAGTCCAGGGAGTCCATTAACCTTTCAACGGCGTGCCCCACCTGCGCTGAAGGGGAATGAGGGGAGCCGCTTTGATTGGCCGGGAAACAAGTCGGCTGTGTTCAGTCCCATAATGACGCAAGCGCCCATTTCTAACTGCGCCCATGCATGTACGAAAATAGCAAAAGAAAGAAAACATCACCCATGTGGGCTGTTATACTATATAGATTTGGGCTGGGCATGAAAATAGGGCCCCACATGTTAAGGTCATTCATAGTTCCCATGAATGATAGCAGCTTTCCCAAAGGTCATAATGAGTTCATTTAACCCTTTCAGGGACAGCTTATCATGTTATCAGGTTTTAGGGTGCATGAAAGGGTTAAAACAACTGATGAAAACTTCTTGTCTATACTTAAAAAAATACTGCTTCCACATTGGGGTACGTGTTATCTCATACACGACATACTCTATTCACAAACACCATGCTGATCGTTACAGGAAAAGATTTATCAGTAATAAAAAACAGAGGTCAGTCGAGTGTGGGTGAGATCAGGCAGGCTGCAGTGTGCTACATGTAGTCAGTATGCTTGAATGCTTCTGGCTCCAGTGCGTCTCAGAGTGGCGCTGCAACCTTCAATCTGTCGACATGCTGTCAAAATAACTTCCGCTTTTTGTTTCCCTTTTTTTTCTTTTTGGGACTAATTTTGGACACAAAATAATGATCCTTCATGTGTCCCGTTTCTCCCTGTAATCCCGTACACCCTGCTCTGAAATTTAATAAGATGTTGTCCGAAAAGTAATGCCCTTTTCTGACAATTATGCTTGACAAAATGTTTTGTTTTTCCAACAACAGAACATGTAATAACCATGCTACATACGCTAATCCCACACAATTTTACTCAAAATTTAGGAGTGCACCTTAAGTTTTTTTTGTCATATATTGCTAGAAAGCTTAATTTAACATTTTTGTACACTTTTTTTGTTGGTACTTTTCCAACTAAATTCTCGTGAGATACACAGAATATCATCTCACTTAGTCACATAGCCCGGTCAGTTCTTTCCAGTGTTTCTCTTCCCCTCCCCCTCTTTTGCTGTGTATAGAAAAGTGGCTTGAGTGTTGCCAGGGCCACTTGCCATTTAAAACATTGATGGGGATCTTACTTGTCTGCTTGCTGTCACTGGGTGTGGCCTGGGCTCTCTGGTTCTCCTCAGTTGACTCGCGCCCACTGGAGCGGTCACTCACCATGGAATCGCCGTCTGACGGGGAGATCCTAAGCACAAAATACACACTTGAATGAATAATTAAAGCCTGAGGATGGGCTTGCGTGCTGGAATAGCGTGCATAATAAAAACTAGCAGTTTAGTTTGGAGGTCAAAAGCTGGGAAGTTTCTAAGATAATGTGTTTGGTTCAAAGCTTGTTAGAATAATACAATTCTTAATGTATTCTTCTTGGCGAGATTGAATCCCCACTGGGGTATGGGGCCATATTTGGACAAACTGAGGACGAGGGAAACAATAAATACATAAACAAATAAATAAATAAAAAGCCCTCACAGTCTCGTATACCAATTATTGATCAGCGAATCAGTCAAAGCTTTGTGTGTGTGGCTGACTGAGAGAATTGAGTTGAATAATTTTATTGACTTTAGATTTTAAAGTTAAAAAAAAAAACAGCAACAAAAGTACAATCAGAATCAGTGGTGACATTATTATTAATACTGTTGAGCTTATTTCTGTTAACAGAATGCAAATGCATTAACATGACCATTTATTTAATAACATTGGCTTACTTACTATGCCTTATAACATTGCAACCTAAAAGAGAGATAAAAACACTCACTGGAGGTACAGTGTGTGTGTGTGTGTGTGTGTGTGTATGGGGTATAATGTAAAAATAACATGCAAGGAAAGCTGACTTTATAGCAAGTAGGTCTTCCTCTTTTTTGTGCTTTAAATACAATCGCTATCACTAAAAATCAAACTTACACACTAGGATGGTAGTTTCAAAATTTATATCGATGTGAATTTATTTCTTTGGCTGGATACAACCTATAACGGAAGAATATTAATCTTATTTTTAGCTGTGTGTGTTTTTAATGCACTGCATGTTTGGACTGTGGTTGAGAGGAAAGAAATTTCATCTGTGCTGTATGTTGTACATAGAGCATATTTGACAATAAAGCTGACATAATGGAGTTCTATCATGCTATTTTCTTTCTTTGGTTTCATAAAACCTTGAACAGAAAAACTGTAGTGATAAAATCCCCCTCCTCCTTTGCACTGCCAGGAGCACTGACCTCTCTCGTCTTCGAAAGCTGCGGGATGCTCTGGTGGAGGAGGCAGAGTTTTTGGATTTGGGGGTGGGGACATCCCCATTCTGGGAAGAACTGGGGCCTTCCTTATCTGAGGTGGGCAGAGGCCCCGCTGGGATGGATTCTTGGACCACCATGACATCATCTCTATTCTGCTGGCCGAGATGCAGCTTAGCAAAGTCAAAGCCTTTCACACTGGGGGCCTGTAACTGAAACAAGAGACATTTACTTCAAAAACGAGAGTGCTTTCAAAATGTGAATGCTTAAATCAACAGCAGGGTTACAACCTGGTTCTGGCTAGGCATGGATGCCTTGAAAAAAAAAGACTCAATTTTGTGATCACATCTTCAAATCAAGTTATGTTGGATAAGAGGTTTGTATGACAGTGATGAGACATGTGTGAAATTGAGGTCAATGAAATTCGATATGCTCCCAATCGTTGCCTGTCAAATATACAAAGGCACCTACTGCTTGTAAGATGGGTGATGTTTATTTGCTATGGTGTGGACATCTGTGCAGTGCGTCTGTCATACAAACAATGGCAGCCTTCGAAAGAGTGATCCCAAATGCACACAATTGGAAATAGTGACCCATTTTTTTTGTAACCCACACCGAAACTGAATGCTAGGATTGAGGAGGCTAATGGTAATCCGCCCTACAAAAATAACTAATTTTAGCCACAACAAACATAAACTCTAAACATAAACTCTAAATCTACTACTTCACCACAGAGATATTTTATGCCCCTACAAATCCAAAGAACAACAACTACTGGAGACATGACACACAGTTTACAGAGGGCAAAGCATGAGCCTAATGTCCAGCGAAGCTGCAAACACAACAATCTGTTTGGCTACTACAGCCTGTACCTCCTTCTTGACCAGCCTCCCCTTTGGGAACACTGTCATTCGCTCTTCTTTCTTCATCCCCTCTGTTCTCTTTTGTGCTGCTTTGTTTTTCTGTCCATGCTTTTCTTCTGCTTTGAATGACTTTGTTTCAGGCTGCTTAATTTCTTCTTCTTCTTCCTCCTCGTGATCCTCTTCTTCGTTGCTTTCTTCCTCCTCCTCACTGTTTGTATGGTCTTCGCTCTTTAGAGTGATTGTTCCCTGGGCAGATGCAACAGTTGACAGGTGGATTCGTCCCATCTGTAGCTACGCAATCTTTTAATAGTAAAGAAATATGACTTGTCTTAACATACTCTGCAACTCCTAAATGATACCTTTCTGTTTTTAACATTGATTTCCTCCTCCTCATTCTCTTCCTCTTCATATTCCTCTTCTTCCTCCTCATAACACCACTCTCCTTCTTCTTCTTTGCTACACTCTTTACCCATCTCATGTTGAGGTAGTGCCCGGTGAACGGGGCTCTGTGAGGTAGCAGACTGTGAGCAGAAGGGTGAGTGGTATTATGTGACAGATTATGAAGTTAAATTAGTCTCTTTTGTACATGTAACCAAATTACAGAAAGATGAGTTCATGAGCTTCAAAGCAGAGCATTTACTGGTCGAAGAGGGAAAAAACTTGACAAAGACACATCAAACACTGCCTAGTAAGACAGGAAGGCCAAAAATACATTTAAGTATCCTTTAATGATGTCGGGAGATGGGACTTGCCTGAGGAATGAGCATCTGAGAAACAATATTGCTGTCTGGTGCTGTTTTAGGACCCATGCAAAATGCTATGCTATGTATTTCTTGGAAGAAAAAAATAGCTTTGTTGTACAGTAATTATCTATCCAACTTTTTCTGTTCTGGCTTGCAGGAAGATGGAAGCTATCCAAACCTATGTAAAGCCACAAGAGGGGTCGATTCAAGTCAATAATGTGTACATACAGGAACAGACAACCAGTTAACATTTGCATTCACACCATCACTGAGTGGGAGCTGCTGCTGCACATGCTGTCTGCATGGAAGTCAGGCCAGTGAACCATTCAACAGTGACACTGTGCCATACTGTTCAAATACAAACCCAATTCCAATGAAGAAAGACACGACGTCCACAATTTCCAAAAACAATTTGAAACGTGGACTCGTCAGACCACCGAACACTTTGCATCAGCCCATCTTAGATGAGCTCAGGTCCAGAGAAGCCTGGTCCCACATAGCCTGTTCACCTGTTGGATGTTCCAAAATGTTTTGGAGAGCAGCCATAAGATTCAAAGTTAATGATCATTTGCTAAAAACAATAAAAAAAAGTTGATCAGATTTTCAGTTTATCTTGTCTTTGGTTGATCATGATTTGCAACTCATTGTATTCTGTTTTTCTTTGTTTAACACACCGTGTCAACTTTTGGGGAATTGACTTTGTACTACAGATAATATGGAAAAGAAAAAATCATAGAAAAGAGAAAAAAAAAGTACAGTACTAAATGGGTCCATTCCAATATTAGATATGTTCTTTCCAGCTCATATGTCTTTTCCAGCTCATGTTCTTTCATAAAATCCTTGCTGAAATAATGCCGTCCTGCCAGCTGTAATCTCGTTCTTTGATTGTAATAAACGATAAGTAAGAGGACAACCTGAAATTGGTTTAAATAAGGAAATAAACCTTGATTCCAGAAAAGCTCTGCAGTATCTACCTTCTGTCTCTGCTGGATGGACGTCATGGCATCTGGCTGGAACTCCAACTTGTCTGACCGGCACAATTTCCAGTAGAGGATGGCAATAATGACAATGGCCACCAGTAGAGGAATCACCACTCCGATGATGATCCAGATTTTGGGGTTCTCAGTGTCAGAAGATGACAATGGCACCTTCTCTACAGCTGAAGTGTAAAGGATAGGAGTTGTACACATACTGTAAGCATTCGATTCTATTGCTCTTAAGTTATGCCTCACACACGATGGAGATGGCGTTTTTCGTCGGAGAGTTGGTTCTTGTCTTTTAGCTGTAATTTTAACAAAACACACCATTACTTGAAATTACCTTTTGCTTTATCCCTTGGGGAAGTTAATTAAGTAAAAACAGTCAGCATGAGGAGGGAGTTCCCTTGAGGGACTCTCATTAGCCTGTTGTCCCTTCTTCGGAGTCAGAATGTTGGTACATTGCACGCAAGGGAGAGTAATTAACGAACATGAAGGATCACATGGTTAGAACTTTGGGCCCTTAATCTGTATACACGCATGGACAAAATAAGATATTTATTTACAATGTGCTTTTTGTTAAAAAAAAAAAAAAAAAAGACAGCCCCACAATGGTCGCTAATATCACTGATAAAAGTAATCTAAGTAAAAAAAAAATCGCTGAAAACCATTGCTTTTTGTGGTCCGCAAAAATTAAAAAAACAAATCGAAATGGCTTAGACAAAAGAACTTTGTTGCACAACCTTTTGATGACTGCAATCAAACATTTTCTGTAGACTTGAGACTTATGCACCTGTTGACCCAAATTTGTGTTCAATAGGATTTAGATCAGGGCTCAGAAAGCCACCTCACAATAATCCTGTGCTTTGTTCAGAGCCATTCTTGGATATTTTTAGCTTTGAGTTTTGGGTCTTTATCTTGTTGGAAGACCCCGCCGCCCATTTTTTTTTTCACTCCGGCATCGAGTGTTCATCGCACATGCACAGATTCACAAACCCTGTGTCATATGAAGCAAAGCAGCCCCAGAACATAACAGAGCCTCCTCCATGTTTCAAAGGAGGTACGGTGTTCTTTTTCAGTCTCCCAGAAGCTTTGAGGCTTTTTAATATGCATTTGGCAGATACTACTATCGTCAGTTTTAAGTTATTTAAATTACCATGGCTAGAGATTTTCTTTCTTCAATGGAAAGGTTACAATAATTCAATTCATTTGTGTTTGTTGCTTCAAAACAATAATAAATAAGACATTCAATAATTATATACAGCTAAACAAACAACTTGGCTTAAAAAAAAAAAAAAAAAAAAAAAAAACAGCTTGAAGTTATCTTACCGGTATCAAGCACCACAATAACAGCGAACTGTCATGATGAAGATACTCACGTTGTGCTAAAACACCCTCAACACGATAGCCCAAGATGATGGCGGCCTTTTGGACATCCAAGCTGTTGAGAATGTTGGCCATTTCAACAGCAGGGACCCTCTGGCCATCAGGACGCTCCACAAAATACACAACTTCCAGGGGATGGTCCACACCTACAGGTCGGTTCATGCTCACAACCTATGAATTGACATAAAGCAGAGTTCACTTGGACAATCAGCTAATTTTGCGATAATGCGAGATACATCATGGGTGGATCACCGGTCAATCAAAATACTGAAAATAGGGCTCTTTTTGTGACCTGTGCAGCACTTGGTGTAAATCTGCAGGGAGGCATATTAGACCGGGTGTTGGTAATTTTGCAACCGCATGCAAGCCGGCGCATTAAAAAAAAAAGGGCATTTTGTACCCTCGTGGAAATGAACACAGCCTCTTCCATGCATTGATATTCAAAGCATCTTTTACATCTCACATGGATCCGTCTCATAGCGACAAAGCAATCTGTGTGCAACCAGAACATTGTCACTGGGCTTGGCCGGTGTGGCAACAGACAACGCAAGCGAATACACTCGTTAAGTGAGCAAATGTTAACCACTGGCAACTTAAATCTGTAATTCATGGACCTCAGATACTATATGTATCACCACCCTTGATTGTTTGTGTGCGCCGCACCCACACACAGCTGCATGCCGACTCGTGGGAACATTTTACAACTATAATAACAATAATAATAATATTAAACATAGGCGGCATGGTGATCCACTGATTAGCGTGTCCGCCACATTGCAGAGGTGCAGCGTTTGATTCTGGCTCCGGCCTTCCTGTGTGGAGTTTGCATGTTCTCCCTGTGCCTATGTGGGTTTTCTCCAGGTACTCTGCTTTCCTCCCACATTCCAAAAACATGGCAGGTGTGATTGTGAGCGCAGATGGTTGTTCGTCTACATGAGCCCTGCGATTGGCTGGCAACCAATTCAAGGTGGATCCCGCTTACTGCTCGAAGAAGGCTGGGATAGGCTCCAGCACGCCCGCGACCTTCGTGAGGATAAGCGGATTAGAAAATGGATGGATGGATCCATTCAATTCGCCACAATCACGTTTGATCAATTGTGCCACTATCTACAGGTGGTTTGAACAGGCACAGCGTTAGACCGACTTTCTGTCAGCAAACTGTCACTCCGTCTGGGTTATCTTCAAGGACACACCCTCGCCATAGCGGTATGCACACCCTGGCGCAGAGCGGTTAGCCTTGTGCCTGCACAAAAATTAGGATATCCCAGCATTTCTATATGTGCCATATACTAAAAGAGAGCCCATATACTCTTGACAGATAACTATCCACACTCACATTCACATTTAAGAACAATTCTAAGTTGTCAATTAACCTGCAAGAGTCCACACACAAGAGCAAGAACATACAAACGTCACCCAAAAGGCTCCAACACATGGATTGAATCCAAGACAAAAACAGTCAATAGCATAAATAGGATTAATATTACCAAAAAAAGGTTAGCTGAATGGTGTCTGACATGATAAACTCAAAGTAATAATCGTATTTTCATGATAACATGGTTCTACCTCACAGCTAAGTCAATTAATGCAGTGTGTGAGATAAAAAGTTTTTTTATATACTTCAAGCCAACTCAAATTGCTTATTTTATCGCAATTATGTGTTTGTGTATGCACAAACTCCCTCTGAATGCTCAGAGGCAGAATGACGCAGCACATAATGCTTAGCACTGCTCCTGAAATGCTTTCTGTTTTAATGACACAAGACAGAAAGGTCTGGCGCAGTTAGGTTGCTATTCAGTCAGGAAGATAGTTATCACTCGGCAGCCTTCAAGTTTCAGAACTTTCTGTGTTGCATTTCCCTTTCTTCTGATGGCTAAATCTTTAACCAAACACCATTCGCTGGCTCTGTGGATGTATACCCGCTAAAAAACAGACAATGTCTTCATCATGCTGAAAGCAAAATGGCAAGTGTAACAATGAATAATTTATGTGATTTGTGCAGCTTTGCAGCTCACAGGAAGCATCAAGTGGGGCTACAGGGAAGAAAAGGAACAACACTTGGTGCAGTTGTGATCTTGAATGGGATGCTGAATGGGATGATGTTGCCATGGCAACATGTTCCCATCCAGCGCCACGTGAGGCTGATGAGCAGGTGCAGGGCAACCCCACAAAAGCTGGAGCCTGATTAGTAAAGCAGGAAGGCTTTCAGTGGTTACACGAACACTTTGCCTCAAATAAGGAGCCCTCGATAGTCACTTGATAGCAAGGTAGTTAGCATTTGCATCAGGCGATGGCAATCAGCAAAAGGAAGAAATCTTTCTTAATGTTCAGTCATCTATTTACAAACAGAGAAATGTGCAAAGATCAACAACTCCGTAAGCACCACAATGTTCTAAAGATAGTCACTGAAACATAATTGTTTGCCAAATCAAGAAACTAATCGTGAGATATTCACTCTGACACAGATAGGTCACTGTCACTTTAAAAATACACTATATACACATGGTACCTGAACGCTACTGTTGCCAACGTTGGTGGCTCTCTTGACACGTCTGACTAATCCCATGGCTTCCCCAAGCAGCATGGCCACCCTGCGCTCGATGTTCGCTTGAAAGGTCCTCTGGCCCACTTCACTGTCCAGCACTCCCAAGAGAACTATATTTTTGAAAAGCAGAAGTAAGATATGCAGAATAAACATTTTACACCAAAGTTGCACAAGCTGATTAACATGATGACAGATCATCACAATTAACAGAAACCATCTTACCTGTTCTCACCCAGGAGGAGCGAAGGGACTGGCTTGTGTTTAACTTTGGATAATGAAATGCTTTTGATGAAGGGGAAAAAAAAAAATCATAACACCATAATGTCATGACATTGTTCCAGCCACCATCGGAACAAAGGTCAAATAAGAGAGATCACTGTGCTGTACATTTAAATGAAAAATACTGTCGTAATAATGTTTAAAAAAATCTGTAAGACTTACGCTCGGCAATCTGCAGGACAGGGAAGCCCATGTAATAGCTGAATTCCACCTTAGTGAGCTTCATGAGAGCAATGCTAACCTCTGATCCCATGAGATAACCCTGGGGGCTGTGCACAATGAAGGTGATATCCACTGGATACTTCCTCAGTTGTTGCTGATTTTTAGGAACTGCCATGGTAATGTTGATCATCTGCAGCACAATGTGACAATCCTGTTCAATTTATAAGGTCTACAGGGCAAGGTCATTATCAGCTTTACTTTTGCAGAAAATCTCGTCAGTCTCTGAAACACTTCCTTCTTCAGTTAATCCAAAGTAGGGCAAACAATTGGGCCGGGGCATTTTTATTTCTTTATTTATGAAATGATTCCACACTGCAACAAATTCCGAAACAATCCTGAAATATAGAACAGCCACAAGATTAGGTTACACAAAATTCAACACAAGCCAATTCTGTACTTATCAAAATAAGTACTTTATTAACAAAAAAACAAGATCCTATAATCCTCAAAAATTGGAGCATGAATAAAAAGAGTGTGTTTGGGGTTTGGCTGACAATAGGTAATTCACAGATACTTGCTATGTACTAGACAGGAAGAGAAAGCTGAAGGATTTTCAGAATCAGAATTGCAATGTTGAGGTGAAGATTCTCAGACATCTAGAGGACCCTTTGACAGACAATGGGTGTTTGTTTTGATTTTAATCAGACAATAGTTGTCAAGAGCATTACAAAATAAAAATAAAAATAAATCAAAGACAAGTCTGAAAACAAAAGTCTTTATAATGACTACTTTTTTTTAAAGGCTTAAAAAAGTAGGTGTTGCTTTCTAGGCAGTATTTATCAAAATATATTTCATAACGGATACAAATCCCCCCCCCCCCAAAAAAAACATCTCTATAAAATGCCAAGAAAAATGTCTATAAATCTGACACTCAAGAAAGAAGAGAGAAGATTTTTAATAATTGTGCCAAATTTGAGAGATTAAAAAAAACATGCCCCAAATATGGTATGTTCTTTCCTCTCTGTGACACCCTAGGCGTGTTCACTGAATGTGATGAAACCACGCAATCTTTAACTGTTTAACTGTCAATTAAATACCGCACATCTTTCTTATGCCCAAAGCCCTTTTCACACCGCACTTGGTTTTCTTGGTGTTTGCGTGGAGCATTGCGCAAGTGCAACAGCACCCGAGTGCAAGCCTGCCCAAAGTTGGAGCTGCTTGCATCGCAGCCTACCAGTAAGTAACAGGGAGGCTTTTCCTGCTGGTTGGTCTACTGCTATTAGCACTCTGAAATCACACTGCCAACCTCTCCCTTATTGGATGCCCTTTGTGACATCGCCACAACGGCGCTCTTGAGTTGAACATTTTGCAATTTAACGCCACGTCGCCCACCTTGCGGATTTCACCGTGACGCAACACGGCATTCCGTCCTCACAGCACAGACAGAACACGACAGAAAATAATGGGAAAATGCAGTGGAAAAAAATCAGTGTATTCAACTCAGGCGCGCTTAGTGAGTGGCAAAGCAAGATTGCCACCGGTGGCTTAGCTTCTTGCTAAGGTGGGAAAGTGGCATTGTCCGTCCGTTATATATAAGTTCATGCTTTACACATACTAACGAGAGGTGCTAGTCAGGAGCTAGCTCATGAACTAACCAAGGCTGCCTTGGGTCAACAGGCAGGCGAGTTGATGATTGAGAATGTCACTCACCATTCGTTAAGCTTTAACCAGACATGGCCATTCGGTGTGTTACAGCAAGTGTTCTTATGACAGTGACAGTGTAACAAAATAGTGCAGTGTGATGGTGTTTATTATTCTATGAAGGACAAAGTTATCACACACTTGTTGTTTGCATGCCAGTGATCACATTAATTTGTCAATGAAGCTACACTTTTTATAGCTGTCCTTGTATGTTGCTGATGATAATAATGTATTAAAACAATCGGCGATCGGGATGAGTCAAGTCATTATCGTTCAGATAACTTTGGACTCGTCTGTTAGCTTCCGCAGCGACACATTACATCCCCGGAGCCACTGGCAGAAGCGGCGTGTTGTCAAGTATAGATCACAATTATCTACCAATTATTTTTGCTTGTTATCTACCAATTATTTTTGCTTGTTTTCAACCTGTTTTGCAATGTGACCTATTGCCATGACATATATACATATTTTTTTTTTAATATCCACAACACTATATGTTCTGGCCATAATGAGGTCGCGGGCAGAGATTTGCCTAATGAGCTATGGACAATTCATAACAGTTGCCAGCTCTAGATTACACAAAGCAGATTTTGCTTGCAAGAAGCAAAGGAAAAATTCATCAAACCAAACTGCTGTTTCTTTAATTTTTACTTCTGGTATGAAATGTTGATATTTTGAAAGTGCAAGGTGATAATTCACATTTTCCCACCATTTCCCTGCACTCACATGCACTGTGAAATTGGTTGATGCCTTGGAGCGCTGGCGCACTTCTGCAAAGGCCATTGTCAAACCTCGCTCAATGCGCTCACTGAAGTTGCAAAACCGTACATCAATGTGACCTGGAACAAACTGCAACACTGCACATAGACACAGGAAGAAGGTATTTAAGTCGAGTACGATTACAAAATATTATGCTGAAAAATATATCGAATATTTGAATCATTTGAAGGCTAACTCACCTGTGTGTACTTGATATTTATTAACTTGTGTCATCCAGTCGGGCAAAATAAATAGGAAGTGGCGTCCTGAACTTCGCAAGGCGTTGATGACAGATATGGCTGTGTACACAACTGGATCGGATACGACCCGAAATACAAACTTTGGTGGTGGCTCTATAACCTTAACATACAAAGCAATCAGGTTTACTCTTTTGAAACATTTGCTTGGTGCAGTCACTACAGTAAAAATACATAACTGTACAGTGGTATGTCGACTTACAATTTTTTGGGAGACAGGAGCCGTAGCTCGGCCAATTATTATTTATTTTATTTTTTTCCCTTGAGTTGTGAGCAAAAATTTGAATTGCAAGCACTAAAAGGACGAAGCTAACTTCAGAACATGCAGCAGATGATGACCAATTCAATATGCAGTGCTTGCCTCAAGTGGTTTATTGCCACTGGCAATAAAACTTACAGTATGTTAAACCAAAGCACATACAGTAACTAACAAATGTTCACTCAGTGAATCGTGACACACAATGCAAAATGTCAGTGATGGGCAAAAAAATTGCACGGATGTTTTAGTACCATGTACAGTATTTGCTCCTTCTGGATTCCTGTGTTTTTGGGTTGTCTCTGTGGGATATTAAAATTATTTTGATGATCTTTAACCTCTGTGAAAAATGAGATATTACTGTATCTTACTATTGTATATCACTGTGATTTCTTTCATTGTAATGTTTGTTATTATGTCCTCTTGTGGCCAGGATGTGCACATCAAAGGGAGCATTACATCAACGGGCATTGAAACCTAAAATCATGATGCAGAATCTGTTGAAATCCTCATATCATATTTAATGACGCAATTACTTTGTGGTAAAGTACAATACTGTATCATGGTATTTTTCTTCTTTTTCTTTCTTTTTTTTTTTTAGGAGGGGTGGGGGGACTGCAACAGATTAATGGTGTTTCCATTAATTTCAATAGGAAAAGATGATTTGAGATACGGGTTTTTTTTTTTTGACAGTGGGGCAAGGTCATGAGACAAATTAAACTCATAAGTCAACACACCACTGTATTTATAGTACAAAATCAATAAAGCATCTTTCAAACTCCACTGTAGAAAAGCATGTACCTGTAACTCAAATGATTTGTTGAATTCCTGCTTAAGGATTTCTCCAATCCGAGATGTGGCATCTTCATCTTTGGTCCCTGATGGGAAACCTGGACAGTAAAGTATTAAGTCAGGTGACAGAATAGCCATCAAAAATTCATTTGGAAATGTCATCAAAATGTCATTTACACACAAAGTCTAGATATGTGAAACCGAATAAAGGAGAATTTGATGACTTACCTATTTTAATTAAATACTCAGACTTCTCAAGGTTGCAGAGGTACCGTCTGGATGTCAGCGTTGTAGTCTGCCACTCACCATCCGTGACAGGGATAACGTTGACAGTTTGATGAGAACTTGTGCTGGCACTTGGAGATGTGGCTATGGGTGAGATGGTATTAGCTTCACTGTTGGTTGGGATCAAGGTCATTGTGGCTGGGTTGTCAAATTCATCTTTTGTCACTCCTTGATCACCCAACATAACAGGGGGGGCCAGAGAGCCATTGGATGAGACTGAACTGATATTGAACATTTGTTCAGATGAAGGATTTCCTGTAGGACCATCGGAGAAAGCTGTCGTTGCAGTGAAAACTGAAGTAGGGTGCAGTGTAGTACTTAGTGGGAAGACCTCTGTGACAAACCACTGGACATCAGTCAGAGTGAAGGAAGACATTCCAGCATCTGGCAAAAAATCTGTAGGGCTAGGCAGTGTAACTACAGAGCTGTGCAGGCCAACAGTATGAGTACCTGCAAACCCATCTGCAGTTGACTTGTGAGTGGCCCATAAGGAGGAGGGGGCATCAAGAAAGGGTGTTGTGACGATGGAATGGTATAGAAAAGGCTTGGAACTATTGAATATCTCTGTTGTTCTTATGATAGTTGTTTCACTGTGAGGTTCAGAGCCTGAAAAATCACTTTTGGAGTCATTCTCAGTCAGTTTTACATCACGGGTGATGCTGGTGGTGGGGGTGATGTCTGAAGAACTGATCGGGAGCACAGTGACATACCCTCTTTGTTCAGCTTCACTCCCTGAACCAGATTTCCCTTTAGTCAGCTGTGTGGTGTAATACTCCAAACTGTTCATGTCAGGTAATAAGGCATCGGTTGGTTGAATAGTGTAAGTATCCAACCAGTCTATGTTGTCTGATGCTTCTAATGTCTCACTGATAATTGTGGGAGTAAGCTCTTGTACGTAATCTCTTGTGGGGTGAACTGGGGAAGTATATGAGGGTTCTATTGATGTTAGAAGTAAATGTGTTGAGTAGATGTTCATCGGGCTTGAAGACGGCAGGGTATGAAGATGACGCAAGGACGAAAGGGATGTTCCCACCCTGGAGGGAAAGGCTGTATCGTAATGTTCTCTATTCTCCTCTTGATCGTAAATGTCGGGAACCTTGGTGGCCAGAGTGTAGTCCTCTTCCTCTGGACTGAATGCTATCGTCTCCAAATAATCTCCACTTCCCCAGTCGAAGTCCATGCTATTTGTGGGGTAGAGGTCCTCTGGTGGAGCATCGGTCGGTTCAGATGATGAGGAAATGAGATAAGGGCCGATGAAAGGCACATGGTAGCTTGGGGATAAAATCTCATGTGGATTGGCGAGAATGTTCACTTGTTTATTCTCTGGCATTGAGGAACCACTTGTGCGAACATCGTTCCCATGCTTTATTGTACTTGGAGCCTTTGTAGAGACATGATCTAAAATGTAAGCTTCGTCTGATGGAATATCACTGAAATCCAGTGGATCACCTGGTTCACTGGCTAGTAAGGTCACTGTTCTAAGTGTTTTTTCTGACTCACTGCCTCGAACAACTTGAGCTTCTTCTTTTGTAAAACTAAGCGGTGGCACTGTAGACCTTTCAAAAGCAGGAGGCCTTGATGAATTTAACTGCAATTGCATTTGAGATATTGAAGGCGTTTGCAAAAGAACTGTTTGTTTGGCAGAATTTATCTGAGCCACTTTCCAGGCTCTTGAAAGTTTGGATTCTTCTAATTGTGGAAAGGATCCCAGAACAAGTTGAGATGGATGCAGTGCTGGAGTAGGAAGAGGCTGTGAGTCTTTTGCACCAAAGTCACCTAGAGTGAAGGATTCATGGCGGGGTTGAGGAATGAGTTGTTGCATGCCAGGCATGTTTTTTTCCTTCTCCAAGGCAGTAGTGAAAAAGGGTGGCGAGGGCGATAGCGATGGCCTTGTTGGACTTAAATCTTCAAGAAATCCATTAGTATGGTGTGCAGAGGCTGACAGAGACTCATCTATGGAAAAGCAAGGAGAAATTTAAGTTTAACACTGAGGAAGGCTAGCTCAAGGGCGAGAAATAGGAACAATAATGAGGTTAACAATTAAAACTCAACTCAAATGAGAGTACAGTGAAACTCCTCTAGAACGAAACCTGCATGGGCGAAAATACCCCCTTATGTGAAAAAATCTTCATGCATTAACACAATTCCCATTCCCCTGCCCCCCATACGACGAAAAACCCCCTGTTGCGTTATACGAAATCATTTTGTCTGCTCCAGCCTCGCGAAGACATTCACTACAACGAAGTCTTATCCAACAGCGACCTCTACTGCTTCGTTCGAAAAAAGGCAACAGCAACCACCACACTTGTTTACATAGTGAACGATGTTTATTTCGGTCACAGCTGCGAGTTTCCTGGGCTCAACATACTCATAGCTGCTCTGCTATTGGCTTACCGAGCATCATCCTGGCCTCCGATTGGCCAAGAGGCCACATAGACCTCACTGTCTATGTGTGTAGATACTGAAGCTAGATC